CTCACCAACTAATACGCCAGCTAGCACCAAACAACCTTTGCTAGGTCCAACTGGCACAAGGGCCCCAATGGCAGAGACATTTTCTCACCAACTGGTATGCCAACCGGTCCCATGGCAGAGACATTGTCTCACCCAGCCAGTACTCCTAACGGCACCGTGGCTCAAACCCCAAATGGCAGAAACAGAGGATTCCAGGGGCACACAACGTAGCAGAGGTCAAACCAAGTTCCCAGTAGATAAGCAAGCAAGCATAGAATAACTTTAACCAAGAACTGAAGTTTCTTTCATTTCAAGTCAAAACTTTCACAACCTTCTATATACTTTTACAACTTTCAATACACCTTCTATGCTCATTTACAAATAACCATTTTAGCCTAACTCACTTTCAGTTCTTGTCCTTTTAACAATGGAAAAGCTCATACTCAGACTCTGTATCAGGTAACTTCAAATCCTTAGATGTGCAAACACATTCTACTCCTTATTGCGTGAAATACTCTCCTTTTCCGAAAGAGTAACTTTAAATCTCCTTCCGGAGTGCAGGTGTAGCTTTCCCTCTCAGCATCAGCCACAGCAGCAGGGCCTGAGTCCTCCTCACCTGGTGCCCCTCTTATCCGTGTGTGGAGGCTCCAAGGCTTGATTCCCATGAGCGTTAGGGAAAAGGGTGTCGTCAGCAGGTCATCATAGGAGCCAGTCCATTGCTCAGCTATCTTCTGCTCAGGCCCTTGAGTCTCCCAGTTCTTTAGTAAGACTCAACCTCCAGACCAGAATAGTGTGGGGACTCATCAGACTGGTAGATGAATCTGCAGTAGGTGATCCATCCAGAAAAGGTATCCACAAAAACTAATAAAAGTTTGACATTCCCTCTGGTTTTAGGCATTTGTGTAAAGTCTACTTGCCAGTCTTTAAATGGGCATAACCCTTTATATAGTACTTCTTTTTCTGCTGGGGCAGGCTCTGTCGTAGGATTGTCTTGGTGCATACCTGGCAGTGTTGAGTGATCCTCTGAATGGCCTTTACAATTGAGGGCCCTTCAAATGAGGCCTAATGAGGTCCATCAAATCACCCCTTCATGGAGGTGTTTGGAAATGGGATATGCTAGAGCTTCAAGGAGTAAGATTATACCTTGATTGTTGATCTGCCATAAAGAATTAGGGTCAGTGTTAGAGAATCCCCATTCACAGGCCTGTTCCTCATCTTGTTCTGTATATAGGGTTTAAATTTTGACAAGTTCATACAGGGCATCAAAGCCCCTAAGTGTGGTGGCCCTCCAGCTGCTTGTCTCATTACTTTATCAGCAGTGTGGTTCCCTGACTCACTTTGGAACTGTCCCTTCCGTGTCCTTGGCAGTGTATGATGGCAATCTGATTCAGCAGGTTCACTGCCTCTAGCAATTGTAAAATCTCTTTGGCATGTTTATCATCCTTGTCCCCTGAGGTTAAGAGCCCTCTCTCTGTCCGTATTGCTCCATGGGCATGGACACCATGAAGACATATTTGGATTTGGTGTAGGCATTAACCTTCTTTCCCAGAGCCAGCACTAAGGCTCTGGTGAGAGCTATCAGTTCAGCCTTTTGGGCTGAGGTTCCCAGCGCAAGGGCTTTGGCTTCTACTACCTTGTCTACGGTGACTACCACACACCTGGCTCATGATTGGCCGTTTTCCATGTAGCTGATCCTGTCTATGTAGAGCTCCCAGTCCGGTGCTTTCAGTGGCTGTTCCAAAAGATCTGGCCTGCTGGACTGGGCTTGGTCAATGATTCCCAAGCAGTCATGCTGGAGGGCTGAGTCTCCCTCTGAGTCCAGAAGCAGGGTGGCCAGGTTCAAGGTTCGGGTAGTCTGTAAGGTAACATTTGGGTTTTCTAAGAAAATGGCCTGGTGTTTTCCCATGTGCCCTGCCATCAGCCAATACCCTCCTTTCTGTTCCAGTAGAGTTAGGACCTGGTGTGGCACAAATACCATAGTAGGCTGCTCCAGAGTGAACTTCTCAACTTCCTGTAAGATGCCACAAGTACCTGTCACTGCCTGAAAGCATGGTGTCCATCCCTTTGTCACATGATCCTACTTCTTTGAGAGATAGTCTGTGGCTTGGGGGATGTTTCCCAGAGTTGGATTAGGAACCTCAGTCCAATGCCCTGACTTTCATGAATATATAATTTGAATGGTTTTGTAAACTGGGTGATGCTAGTGTGGGAGCTGAAACTAGCTTTTCTTCAAGGTGTCAAATGCTACCTGACAATTTCTTGTTCATTTGAAAGGTTCAGGGTCCAGTCCTTTTAAGGAATTATACAGTGCTTTTGCTATAAGTCCAAAGTGTGGAATCCAAATTCAGCAGCACCCTGTAATCCTTAAGAACCCACAAAGCTGCCTCTGGTTCTCTGGGATTTGTATTAGAGCAATGACTTCTTTTCTATCCACCATTAAGCTCTTCGTGCTCTGTTTCCATTGAAACCCCAGGCAGGCCATCTCCTGTTTTGAAATCTGGGTTTTGTGAGGCAATACTTTTTATCCTCTTTTAGCTAACAGATTCAGGACTGTGACAGCATTGAACAGGCAGTCCTCATAGTTATTGCTCGCTATCAGCAGGTTGTTTATGTATTGTAAAAGAACTCCTGTTTTCAATTGCATATCTCACAAGTCTTTCACTAATTCTTCCCAAAATATAGTCACAGAGTTCTTAAATCCTTGTAGCAACATGATCCAATAGTCTTGGTGCATCTCCTTAGTTTCGGGTTCTGCCATTTCAAGGCCAACAGTAGTTGAGCCTGTTCATCTATTGGGATGCAGAAAAAGGCATCCTTCCTTCAAGTCAAGGACTGAAAACCATTGACTATCCCCAGACACCATGGTCAATAGAGTATAAGGGTTGGGCACCATAGGATGAATGTCCTGAACAATGTCATTTATGGCTCTAAGATTCTATACAAATTCATACTGATTATAGTGAGGCTTTTGACTGGCAAAATGGGAGCGTTAAGGGGAAATGGCATGCCTGAGTAAGCCCCAATTTTAAAAATTTTGTAATATTGGCTGAATCCCCTCTAAAGCTTCCTTCTTAGGAGAATATGGTTTTTTTTTCATGGGATCTGTGCCTCTTCTTTTAGGTAAATTTTTATGGATTGGATGTTAACCCCTTTACCTGGGGTGCCATCAGGTTTGATCAATCTGCTCATACACCGTGAGAGAAGAGCCACAAAGGGCACACGTGGCCCGGTGGCACATCAGGCCCATGATACCACTCTCTGGCTGTGATGTGCCTCATGCCCCTTCCTCAGGTAGCTGATCTGTGGGACATACGACAGGGACAGGGCCGGTCCATTGGTGAGAACCACCACCTAGTGTTGGTAGATATGGCAGACCTGTCCCAAGTGTCTTTGCATTTCCATCACCCCAGGTCATTCTTGGGCTTCTCCATTAACTCCATGGTCTCTCCCTTCACCTCGAAGGTGAGCTTTTCAGTGCCTGAGCTGAACAGGTACAGTTTCTGGACAACACACAGAACATAGGTGCCCTCGCCATTATTCAGGCAAGCCTTGCAGCAGGCACAGGGAGCTGGGGGATTCAGCGACCAACTCTTCCACCTCCTCCAGGATGTAGTTGGAGGGGAACCAGCCCAACTGCCCATAGTAGCCTCCATGCCAGCAGTGACATGGCATGCACTTCTCCATGACAGTGACACGGGACTCCATCACCAGGGATAGTTTGTCTACCTTCACAGTCATGTAGGCAAACTTGACAAAGCCCAGCATGCTGAGGTCAGAGGTGCAGTTGACACGCGTTTATTGGCGGGGTACTCAGCATCCATGCTGGGTGTTGGGGACGCATCCCAACACTGGTCTTCTTCTTTGTCTTGTCAAGGCTGAGGGTTTCCTTTGGATTCTTCATGAGGGTGCTCTTCTTCAGCCTGATCTTCCTCTCTATGTACTTCGAGGCATGCAGCCTGTCCTGCTGGCCATATTCTTCACCTGCCACCACATCCTAGAGTCATTCAGCAGACACATGTGCCAGTTTTCCTTGATGTCAAGTTTCTGGTCCTGTTGGGAAATTTAATCCCACTGGGCTCTAACAACAACTTCTGCCATCTTTCATGGAGGCCTTTTTTGGTACTCAGTTGGGAGAGGTGACTGGCAAAACAAAACTACTCAAAAGGAGAATGTTTTAGCTAATTACACCTCTGAAGTTATAAAGCTGTAAGTGGCTCATTCAGGAACAGGTGTTCTAGAAGCAAAATTAGGAAGGAGAAGTGAAAGAGGGAAGTGGGGAAACCAATGAAACTGGCAGTACAGAGCACCTAAGCCTGTGACTAACTGAGGTTTGATGCTTGATGGGTATTCTGGGCACAATATAGAGCACACATCAGAGTTATGTCTTCTGGGGGACAAGGAACTGCCATTTGCCACTGGTTGAGTGCTCCTCCTAGGGCATTTACTCCCCTGGGGTCCTTGCCTGCCACACCCATTGCTTAAGACAGACACCTCAAACAGAAAAACCCCAGTGCTTGTAGAAGAATATCCTTGGCCTGTACCTCAATGGAAGGTGCAGAGGGGGTACTGTCAGGACCAGTAGTATCTGCTACACCACCATTAGCCCCTTCATGCTGCCAGGACCACTTACAATTTAAGGATGAAAGAACTGATGCTCAGTGGGCTACAAGTTCAGGTCATGGAATTCATGAAAGCAGAGAGCTGTGTCTGTTTCGTTCACCCTTTATCCCCAGCTTCTTCATCAGGGCCCGGCACTGTAAGACCTTGATTAATCTTGGTAGAATGAAGGAACTTTACACAGCAAGAATGAGTTGGTCAAGTCAAGGCTTGAGTTAGGATCTTCTCCGCAAAACCCCATGTGTCCTCCACTGACCTGGCAAGAAAGTACCGTTACCCGCAGTCAGCACAGGGTGTAGGATGGAGTGGGTGCAGAAACAGCTGTGAATAAATGAATAAATGGTAAAACAAGTGAACAAATGTATTCTATACTTTTCTATTCCATCTTTCCCTCCCTTACTTAGGAATCACAGAAAAATACCATGAGGGAAGGAAAGAAATGCCCCTCCATACAATGTCACAGAAAAATGAGGATTTCCAACAGGAATTCACACAGCTGCTACTTCTACACAGATCTCAACCCAGAGGCTATAATTTTCCACTCTGGAAAAGGAAACACAGCGTGATAGAGAATCAAAATCTTTTGATGGAGGTCAGAGACTTATTTGGCCCTGGCCCGGGTACCCAGAGAGAGCCTCCCACAGTCGTACTGCATGGGGTGGCTGGAATCGGGAAGTCAACCCTGGCCAGACAGGTGAGGAGAGCCTGGGAGGAAGGCCGGCTGTACAGGGACCGCTTCCAGCATGTCTTCTACTTCAACTGCAGAGAGCTGGCCCAGTCCAGGACAATGAGTCTCAATGAGGTCACCAAAAAAGACTGGGCTGTCGATGTGGCTCCCATTGGACAGATCCTGTCTCAGCAGAAGAAGCTGCTCTTCATTCTTGATAACTTGGATGAACCAGAATGGGACTTGGAGGAGCACAGTTTTCAGCTCGATCCGCACTGGGGCCCTCAGCAGCCGGTGCACGCACTGCTGGGCAGCTTGCTGAAGAAAACCTTACTTCCCGAGGCTTCCCTGCTCATCACAGCTCGGATCACAGCTCTGGGGAAGCTCATTCCTTATTTAAAGCAGCCACGCTGGGTGGAGGTCCTCGGATTCTCTGAGTCAGCCAGGAGGGAGTATTTCCATCAATACTTCACAGATCATAGCAAAGCAATCAGAGCCTTTAACTTGGTTGAATCAAACCCGGCTCTCTTGACCATGTGTGTGGTGCCCTGGGTGACCTGGCTGGTCTGCACTTGCCTGAAGCAGCAGATGGATCAGGGGCAAAAACTCTCACTGACCTGCCGGACAACCACAGCCCTCTGTCTGCACTACTCTTCCCACGTTCTCCAAGCTCAGTCCCTCGGGACTAAGCTGTGGGATATCTGCTCTCTGGCTGCTAAGGGCATCGGGCAAGGAAAGACCCTGTTCAGTCCGGAGGACCTGAGAGAACACGGGTTAGATGAGGACATCATCTCCGCTCTCTTGAAGATGGGTGTTCTTCAGGAACACCCCACCTCTCTGAGCTACAGCTTCATTCACCTCTGTTTCCAGGAGTTCTTTGCAGCAATGTCTTGTGTTTTAGAGGGTAAGAAGTTAATGAGCATCAAAAGTATGAAAGAGTTGATAGGAGAACGTGGGGTGGTTAGTGTGTTTGGGAAACCAACCACGTGTTTCCTATTTGGCCTTCTGAGTGAGCAGGGCATGAGAGAGACAGAGAGCATCTTCAAATGCCAGCTCTCCCAGGACAGGTATCACAAGCTGCTGCGATTGGCCAAGAAGGAGGCCAACCTCACACAGCAGAAACTAGGACCATATTGTTGGCACTTGTTCCACTGTCTTTACGAGATTCAGGATGAAAAGTTTCTGACAGAAGTAATGTCCAATTTCTCTGGAACAAGTACATGTGTCCAAACTGACATGGAGCTCCTGGTGTTCACCTTCTGCATTAAATTCAGCCGGCTCGTGAAATGGCTTCAACTGAACGAGGGTGGACCGCACCGACAAGCACAAAGATCTTCAGGTGTTGTTCTGTGAGTGCTCCCCCTCCCTTCCCTCCAGCTCCTCTGTTGTTCCCACTCTCCTGGCCCCGGAGGAACCAGAGCTAAGCCTGGCCTCAAGTTGCTAAAGGACTGAGTCACCAGGGACTTCTAACGGCCACTCTGACTCCCATTCTCTCTCCACCGAGGATCCTGAGCCGCAGTGTCTGAATATGTGACCTTCCCTAATGCACCTGCGGTGGCCCTGCCTTGCACTGCTGCTCCTCCTCCCGCTCGGGCATGACATCCACCTTCGCTCCTGGTGCGCGTCCCCCCCAGGCTCACGTCACCTCCCATCTACCCAGCCCACCTGCTCTACTTCTCCCTCTTGACACGCTTTCCTCCAGGCACTGCTCACTCAGCTGCTTCAGGCACCCCCTCGATGGATGTTCACTACGACATTAACCCTAAGATCTCTCCCTTCACCTCAGAGTGTGTGTGTGTGTGTATGTGTGTGTGTGTGTCTGAAAAGGAGTCTCTACTGTCCCTGCAAAACCAATTTTCTTGTGTGTGCCAGTGATGCACTATTGCCCCAGGTACCCCTGCTTGAATATGATGGATCAGCTTTCTCTAACAACTCCTGTATCTCTCCTATAGATTATTCACTCCATAAATGAGTATTATACACTGGTTTTATGCCAGATCCTAAATATCAAAGATTAATGAAGCACATACCTGTCTCAAGAAACTCAAATCTGGGGGGGAGACAGACATCTGTCCAGTAACTAGAATAGAGTAAAAAACCTATGATAAGAGAGACATAGAAGGGGCAGTTGGTGGCCCAAAGAAGGAAGGGATCACATGACTGCACCACAAAAGAACAGAGACCCCAAGGAGGAAATGTAGGATTTGTGTGTTATATTTTCAGATTTATATTTTTCTAAATATAAATCTCATGCAGACGGGACGTGGAACAGGCTGGTCCCACAACCAGGTGTGGCAGATAAAAATGTGGGAGAGACACTGGGAGCAAGCGTCCCAGTCTCACATTGGACCCCCCCAGCACAGGTTTCCAGTGCCAAGGAGATAAGTCCCTATAACTTCTTGCTGCAAAACCAGCAGGGATTGAGTCAGTGGAAGGAACTGTGGGAGTCCAAAGCAGCTCCTTTTAAAGGGCTCACACACGGACTTACTCAGACTCACTCCCAAATAGCTCCATCACCAGAAAGGCAGCTTGAAGAGCACCAGTGGCATACAGGGAGAAACTGAAGTAACTGGCATCAAGACAAGAGCTGGGGGACAGCTTTCTCCCAGTCAGTGAGTCACGCACAGGCCATTGTTCCTTTTCTGAACCCTCCTCCCCAATGGAGCCACAGACCCCGTTGCTGAGTGCCATACCTGGGACTCCATCAACCTGCCTTACACTGTCTGCCAGCCCTGGAGACCCCGTGAGGCTCCACCCCACCAACTCACAGACCCACCCAAGCTGTTAACAGTGGGTTTTCTATATTAATGGCTAGTCTTCACTAACACTTCATAACTTCTTAAATTTTCTCCAACAAGCAACAGCTGGCCTCCTCAGCAAGTCCCCCAGTCCCCATATCTCTTGCTAACTGGCCCCAGGACCGGGACTAGCAGCAGCCAGCCTATGTTCACAGCTTGGCTTCACCAGGGAATTCCCAAGCCCAGCAAAAGTAGCAGCCATCTATAGATTGTTGTGTAGCTTATACAGGGTGGCCCCAGGCAGAACACAGGTGGGGCAGACCTTGGCCTGCACCACCCAGAGAACTGCAAAACCTGCCCTCAGTGGACAGCTTCCTACCACACTGGAGCACCACCACCCTGCCCCTGCGCAGCTGATAGGGGAGGGCCAGTACAGAGAGAAAGGGTGGGAAGCCCCAGGTATTTGGTTTGTAAGTAAGCATTGTGCATTTTGATAATAGATTTTTACTTTTTAATTTCAGTTCTTCTTGATTAAAGATTAAAGTCACTAAATGTTCAGCAAGACCAAAAGCTTAAAAAAGTATTCTTCAACTTTCCAAAAACTAACTAAATATCGAAAAACAATTAACTTCCAAACAATAAAATTGGTTTGTACCTTTGCAGCGTGTATACATCTTAGAGCTATTAACGCTAAAACTATACTAAGATTTTTGGGATACTCTGTAACACTTTCACATCTTCGCAAAACCCTCTGCAGCAGGTCCTCCTGTCCCCTCCTTGCAGCGAGGAGACTGGGTGAGGCGCACAGAAGTGGAGTTCGCGTGCTGACAGCTCATTCCAGAGCTTCTGTTCCTGCCTCTGCGGGCATCAGGGGAGGATGAATGGAGTGCAGAAATACTACACTAGACCAAGAAGCTAGTGGGCTATCTAGGTACAGCTGTCTAGGAAGAAAATAAAGATGCTACTCTGGAACTTGAAATAGTGTTTGAGTCATTGAGCCCCAGCAGTAGAGGAAGTCATTTAAATAATGTGTGAAAAAATAGAATTTACATTGGTGGGAATTACACAAGGAAGTCTACCCTAACATTCTCACAGGAAGCCCACCATCGAATGCTCTCTCCTGAGATCATCTCCTTTACCATCTCTCTACAGAGGACCCTCTCTGTGTCTTGCTATCCTTATGAGTGGATTTGGTGCCTCACGGGCAAACCAGGACAGCAGCATAAATAGTCATAATCAACAATTCCATCAAAAACTCATCTTTAAACCACCTCTTCCAGGCTGTGTTCTCTCCTCCAACCAACTCCTTTCCTTTCTGGAAGCCAGGACTTCACAGCCTCTGAGCCACAGGAAGAAAGGCAGGTCTGCGCTGAGGCGAGGAAGGCTGCCTGTTCCCCCAGCTCTGCGCCAGGCCCTGTGCCGGGCTCTGCAGATCAAAAGGATGAACAGTAGCCGCCCCTGCCCACAAGCATCTCCCAGACTGGGGCAGGGACAGGCCCACCAAGTGAGCCCTGCAGTGCAGGGTGGCCGGGGCAGTGCAGTGAGGGGCCACGCAGAAGAGGGGCGCTTCGCCCTGGGAGGCGGGAGCAGAGCGCAGTCGGGGAGGCTGGTCAGCCCTGGGGGTCGCCCTGGGTTGCAGCCTGGCGCTCGGAGCATCCGAACCCCACTGTGCAGGGCAGGGCTGTGCACACAACACCCCCCTCAGCACGCACACGGGTCACATCTTTTCACTTCTCTCTCCCCCTCAGGTCCAGCTTGCGCCCCTTTACAGATGCGGGCTGGCAGATTTTCTTCTCCCTTTTCAAAGTCCCTGGAAGCCTGAAGGAGCTGGACCTGAGTGGAAACTCCCTGAGCTGCTCTGCAGTACAGAGTCTCTGTGAGGCCCTGAAATGTCCTCACTGCCACCTGGAGACCCTGAGGTGAGTCTGGCCCCACTTCTGTCCTGAAACAGGATGGACAGGAGATCAAGACGGAAGTTGTGTCCAGGATCGGGGTGTGGTGTCCGTATTCAGCAACCGTTCCCTGAGCCCCCCTGGCCACGCCCTGCGCCAGGGCCATGGCTCCTACTCTGAGCAAACACAGACAGGGTTCCATCCTCACAGCGCCTGCAAGGGACCACCGTCAACCACACAAACACGCGTGTAATTTCAGGCCCAGGGAAGGGCCTCCCCTGAAAACTACCTAAGAAAGTGTGTACTGAAGGCCACCTGAAGAATGCAGGGAGTTTACCTGAGTGAGGCAGGAGGAAGGAAAGTTCAAAGCCCCCGTGCAGGAGGGAGGAAGGGCTGTCGTGGAGCTGAACGCAGGCCAGTGAGGGTGCACGATGGAGAGCGAAGGAGCAACAGGGCTACAGAGATCGCGCAGCCAGACCCTCTGTGCAAGGCCCTGATGGAATTTGGTGGTATTTTTTTTTATTTCTAATGCAATGTGTTTATAATCAAAAGGTTTATCAGATCAGACCATTTTTGAAGTAGAGAGAGACTGCAGTATAGAAAATGGAATGGAGGAGAGCAAAAGTAGAGGCTGGGAGACCAGTTCATAGGGACATTTCAGTAGTTCCTATAACAATGGTGAGAGCTTGCAGGGAGGGACATTGTAAGTTTCTGTAAGAAATGGTGGTATCTTAGATAACAGTGTTGGCCTTGGAAATGGAAAGAAGTGAATCAAATCAAGAGTTGGTTGTTTTTTTTTAAAAAAATAAAAGGTAAAATCAACCAGACTGAGTAATGGATTACATTTATAGATCAAGGAAGATGGAGACATAAAGATGATGATCTTAGGTTCAGGCCAGAGGAAAACATGGGACGGTGGCACCATCCCCAAGATGGGAAAGAGTGGGAGAGGAGTGGGTGGGGGTTGGGAAGCCATGGGTGGGATTTTGTGCATGTTTATTTCAAGTTCTTGCGAAGTATCCAAAAGGAATATTCCAGCCTGTATCAAAAATGCTCTATGCAAAAATAAGATGCCTGAAAAAGCAAATCTCAATAAATTTAAAAGAATTTTAATCATACAAATTACATTCTCTGAATGTAATAAAATGAAATGGGAAATCAATAACAGCAGAAAATTTAGGAAATTCACAAATATACAGAAATGAAACAACATATTCCTGCATAAAGAATGGGTCAATGAAGAAATCATAAGGGACATTTGAAAATGTTTTGAGATGAATGAAAACAAAAATACAATGTACTAAAACTCATTTGATACAGCCAAATCAGTGCCTAGAGAAAAAATGAATTGACATCAATGCCAAAATTATAAAAAGAAGAAGGGATATGACTATACACCCACTAGAATGTCCCAAATCTAGAACAAGACAACGCCAAATGCTGACTATTTAGTGGAGCAACAAGAACTCTCATACACTGCTGGTGGGAGAGCAACACCATATGGCCACTTTGCAGATTCCTTCACAATAAACACACACTTACCACGTGACCCAACAATCGTTCCCGTACGTATTTATCCAAATGAGTTGAGAGCCTATGTTCACACAAAAACCTGCACAGCAATGTTTATAGCAGCTTTATTTATAATTGCCAGAACTGGAGAGCAACACATATGTCCTTCAGCCAGCAGGTAAATAAGCTCTGGCACATTCATACTGTGGAATGTTATTCACTGTGGGGGAAAAGTAATCCATAAAGCTATAAAAAGACATGGGGGAAACTTAAATACATATTGCTAGGTGGAAAAAAAGACAGTCTGAAAAGCTACATACTGTATGATACCAACAATGTGAAATTCTGTAAGACGCAAAAATACGAAGACAGTAAAAAGATTAGTGAGTGCCAGGGTTGGGACTGGTAAGGATGAATAGACAGAACATAGTGGCTATTCTGTATAACACTATAATGGTGGGTGCATATTCTTTTATATTTGTCTAAATCCATAGACTATACCTATGTCCAGCATGGCTCATTGGTTGGAGCATTGTCCTGTAACCGAAAGGCTGCAGGGTCAATTCCCAGTCAGGGCACAAAGCTCGGTAGCAGGTGTCATTCCCAGTCCAGGCACATGGGATCCCTGGTCCAGGCGCATAGTGGAGGCAATAATCAACGATCTCACTCGCATTGGTGCTTCTGTCTCCCTTCCTCTCTTGCTTCATATCCCTCTCAGAAGCAATGAAAAATACCCATCAGTGAGGAAAAAAAAAGTGATAGAATATGAAACAACAAAAGTGAACCTTGATGTAAACTGTGAACTTCGGGTGATTATGGTGTGTCAATGTAGGTCCACTGATTGCAACACATGTTCTACTTTGAAGCTCAGTGATGATATTGGGGGAGGCTGTGTATGTGGGGGCAGAGATATGTAGTTTCTGCCCAATTGTGCTGAAAAAGAAAACAGTTCTTTAAAAAAAAATGTATTTAAGAAAGAAACAGGAAGAGGACAGAGGCAAAGACTATGAGAAGAAGAAAAAGCTCAAATGTACAACTTAACATTCCACTTTAAAAATAAAAAAAAACAATAAAAGAAAGGAGGAAATATAACAAAAAGCAAGCAGAACAAAGAAAATTACATAGAATGGAAATAAAAACAGAGAATACAAAAACAATACAGAAAATAATGACAGCAAAAGTTAGCTCTTTGCAAAGATCAGCACAACAGACAAACTGAGTAGGATAAAAATTACATGATTCAAATTATTAATACAAAGAATGAAAGAGAGGTCACCACAATTGACCTCACTGAAAAATTTAAAGGGACTTCAAGGAAACATGAATATTTTAAGCCAACAAATTAGATAACCTAATGAAATGGACCATTTCCTAGAAAAACACAAACTATTGACACTGACTAAAGAAGATTTAGGAAATCTAAATAAACTTTTAACAGCCAGAGATTGAATTAGTGAAAGTAAGAAATAAAGAAAGACAGAAAGAACGAGAGAAAGAAACCTTCCTACAAGGGAAAGCCCAGGCCCAGATTGTTTCATTGATTAATTTACCAAACATTTAAAGAAGAATTAACACCAATATTCTCAAACTCTGCAAAAGAAAGAAAGAAATACAAGAGGCAACACTTTCCAACTCACTTTATAATGGTATCACTACCCTGGTATCAGTATCAGACAAAGACAAGCAAAGTCATCACAACATATTTAAAAAACTAAGGCCAGTGTCTCTCATGAATACAGATATGAAAATCCTCAATACAATATTAAAACATATAAAAAGGATGGTAAAGCATGACCAAGTGGAATTTATCTAAGGAATGCAAAGTCTGTTTAAACCAGGAAAATGAATCCATGTAATACATCATGTTACTAGAGTAAAGGACAAAACCTACATGATCATCTCAATAGACATAAAAAAATGTACTTGAAAAAATCCAACAGCTTTTCACATGAACAACACTTGTTCAATAAACAAGGAAAATATAGGAACTTTCGAGAAAACCTGATAACAACCAGCTATGAAAAACCCACAACTAACTTTACACTTAATGTTGAAAGAATGCTTTTATCCTAAAAATAGAAACAAGACCAAACTCTCTACTTTTCCAAGTCCATTCAACATTATACCAGAGGCTCTACCCAGAGAAATTAGGCAAGAGAATGAAATAAAACTCTTCTGTATAATAAAGGAAAAAGTAAAATTATCCCTATTTGCACCTTACATGGCTGTATTTTAAAAATCCTAAGGAAACCACAAAAAATAGCTATTAGAACTAATAAACTAATTAGTAAGCTTGCAGGGTAAAAGTTCAGCATTAAAAAAAAACTGTACTTATACATATTAGTAATAAACAATCCAAAAAATATAATTAAGAAAACAACTCCATATACAATAGCACCAAGAAGTATAAAACTTGGGAATAAATTTGACAAAGGAAGAGCAAGACTCATATACTGAAAATTACAAAACATAGTTGAAGAAGTTAAATCAAAACTAAATAAATGGTAAGACATTTCATGTTCATGGACTGAAAGACTTCATAGTGTTAAGATAGTCATGATTTCCAAAGTGATGTATACATTCAACCCACTTCCTATGAAAAAAAACAGATGCCTTTTTTTAAATAAATGGTCAAGCGGACCCTAAAATTCATATGCAAAAGAAAAGTTTGCATGTCCAGCCTTGGGAGACTCACCCTTCCCAATGTTGAATGGCCAAGAGAAGTCAGCATGGAGGCTTGAGGAAGAATAGCCAGGGAGGAGGGAAGAACTCCAAGGCAGTGTGTGTCATGGAACTTAAAGCAGTAGAGGGTTTCAAGGAGTGCGTGGTCATCAGGGGCCATTGCTGCCTGGAGGTCAAACACAAAAGCACTTGAAGTTGTCCATTGGATTTGTGATAGGGAAGTCACAGATGTCCTCAGCAGGAACAGTTTTGTGAGGTGATGAAGTCGGCACCCAAATAGGAGGAGACTAAATGTAAAGACGGAGGTGAAAATGAGGCAACAAATACAAACACCTTTATCACAGACTTTGGTAGTGAAGAACGAAACAGAAGGAAAGCAGAAGCGAATGTGGGATTTACTAGAGAGGAGGGACGTGTGTCCTTGTTTGCACTGAAGAAGAAAAAGGCCTAAGTTTCAATTTTTTTGATAAGGATGATGAGAGATACAGGAAGAAGGACTAATTGATGGTCTCTCTTTCCTCAGAGGGAGGCAATGGGAGAAAGACTGGCGTTGGAGGAGTTGGGAACACCTCCTACTGTAACAGAAGGACAGATGAAGACCTGGCAGAGAGAAGGTGGCCATAGACACATAGGTTTGCCTGTGGGAAGCTGATGGATTCCCATCTGATGGCTCCATCTTTCCCTGTGAAGTAGGAATTCAGTTCTATACTAAGAGTTTGAGGGTTGAGGTGTTGGAGGCTTGGGGAAGGTATAATATGGAAATGGCCACTGCACAGTGAGAGATCTCTTTTCTTTCAGATTTTACTTATTTATTTTAGAGAAAGGTAATGACA